ACATGCACAGCACCATCTTCTCGAAATTCCATTTTGGCCTCACGGATACGTTTAGTTATATCTGCATTTGTTAAAGATAGATCTTTCATCGAAACACTAAATTTATATCCTAATAGTCTGTCAAGATCAAATCTAGTAGCAGATGGTTCAATTGCTGATAATTCTTCCATTATTATAATTAAGACAAATATTCAAATTGAAATTTAGTACATATATATATATATATATATATATATATATATATATATATATATATATATATATATATATATATATATATATATATAACTATATAACTATATAACTATATAACTATATATATATATATATATATATATATATATATATATATATATATATATATATATATATATATATATATATATATATATATATATATATATATATATATATATATATATATATATGATTCCAACAGAACATAAATGTGTTTGGTTAAAAATTGGACATATTTCTTATTGTAATAAGTTATGCGTAAACAAATAGTGCGGTTACCATATGCAAAGTATCAGACATGGAAGTACTGGACCAAAACCATGCATTCAATGTGGTATTGGAGTTAGAGGAAAAACGCAATTATATGAAAATTGTGGGGGTAAAAAATATAGGGAACTTAAACGATATTATGACAAAAAAAGATACATCGACAGGTAAATCTCCTATAAAAACAGAAAATGATTATCTAACCAGATTTCAAAAATAATGATTTAAACAAATAAATATTATATACAAATGGAACAAAAAGAATTTGTGAAACATCCAATATATACCAATTATGAGGCATCCAGAGATGGTGTTATTAGACATTGTAGACGAAAGAAACCACTCGGTTGTCTTAATAAGTATGGTTATTTTAAATTTAATATGTATGGAAATATACATTATTTTTGTCATAAATTTGTATTCGATTGTTTTCATGGGATTGTTAAAGATGGATTTGTTATTAATTACATGGATGGAAATCTCCAAAATAACCATTTACATAACTTAGAATCAATTACACAGTCAGAATTGTAAATTTGAAAATACAAGAAAATGTAAGATATTTGGAAAGAGGGCCATTAAATCCATAAATATAGAAACAGACCAAGAAATAGTTTTTAAATCTATGAAATCAGTTGCTATATATTTTAACATTCATACACAATCGGTGCAAAGAGTTGCAAATAAAACATATAAATCTACATATTCAAAAAAGTATGATCAAAGTATTATATTTGAGTACATATAATAACTGTTTATTTTACTTTATATTCTATCAATATTGCCAAGGGTTTTGTTTAGCTCTCTTGACTGTGTCAGGGGTTTATTCACTATCGCTATCCTCAGTTTTACTATCATTTATTACAGAATCAAATAGCATAATCTTTCTCAATTGCATCACACGATTGTCTATCATTTTTTTCTTTCATATTATTGAGATAATGCGCTTTTCATCTTTACGATTGAACACGCAAGAGGCGCAAATAGCTTTACTTGTGTGTCGGTCACCAATTGTAAAGATTCTAACATAGAATTATAAATTGACTTTATGTATCTGTAATTGGAAGATAATGTGAATTAATTTTGAAATTTTCTTTGTTGTAACGTTTCAAACGCACACAAAATTTTTTCAACATCAACATTTTATTATTAATTAACTTTATCACTAATTGCATCTAATCGCTGTGACTTAGTCACTATAATATTCATCGGCAATTTCATTAATAAGTGATCGATACACATCAATATCCATAATACCGCCACTAAATTATCGTTTACAAATATCTGTTGCTTCAATAATGATTTCTGGGGAATTATTACCAGCTCGTTTTCCTCCAATCAGAATTTCTAGTCGTTCAACATCAGCAATGATGTTGTTAGGACACTGAGTAATAAGACCACTTCCGAAAGAGGTATCCGACGGCCCTTCTTCACTTTTTATTTGGGTTGGTTGTGATTTTGGAGATTGTGACAATAATTTTTGTTGTTGTGTATACTGTAATATTTGTTGTATTGATGGCGGTGATGATTGTCGTTGTTGTTCTGGTTGTTTTGGCGTTTGTTGTTGGTTTGGTGGTTTTGGAGTTTGTGGTAACTGATGTGGCGTTTGTTGTTGCTTTGGTAATTTCTTTTATAAAGTTAATATAACTATCTATTGCATTAATATACTGTATAAAATTACGATCACTATTTCTGACCCGACTAACGTTATAGTGTATACGAAATATCCATTTGTACCAAGTATCATGACGTACAAGTTTATCAGCATATTCAGGATTTAAAAAAAAATTCTATCACTAAAACTTTTCAAAGCAAACGCAGCTAAATCTTCTACATTTTTAACTCTTTTAATATCAGCAATAAAATCTACGCCAAATTTATAACTTATGTTAGATAGATCATCTATTTCAGCACGAGTTTCTTCTGCATCTTCAGGCATTTCTGGGACTGGCATTGCATCAGCTATTTCGGCTGGAAGTTTTTCGAGAATCGTTTTTGTTTTCTTAGTTCTTTTTTCTATTTTTTTGAATTGCTTTAACTGTTTAATCTAACACAGGTTGAATATCTTTAGTGGTATCTGTTATCGGTTTAAATAACTGTTTTGTATCCTCCTAAAATTCAACTTGAGATTCCTGACGCGATTGTAGCTGTTGTTTGACAGCATCACGGATAGGTAAATATTTTTCAATTGCCTCTAAACGCTCTCGATTTAATTTAGCTGAGAGTGGTTCGCCAGTATTCATTATTATATAATATTTATAATAGATGTTTAATTAAATTGAATGCTGGTAAACAAAAATCACTAAAAATGCTTTTCTATTCTCTGACAAATTCAAGATAAAATAAATATTTTATTAATTATCATGTCTATCCGCAAATTTATTATAAAATTATATTAAAACGCAGATAAAATCACCATTTTATATTGATTAGTATTATAGTATATAATAAAGCGCGATAACTATGCTCTTAATCTATATTGAGAAATAGATAATTATTTCCCTTTACGCATTTAGTCGAGGACGGATAAAATAAATCTTTTTTCTGACAATTATTACCTAATTATCTGTTACCTTGCGTGTCGGACTGCGATCAGGGATTCATTTTAAAAATGCCTCACAAGATAATGCAGTCACTCGGTCGCCTGATATATTCGGCCCACAACACGGTTCGGACGCTAGCATAGAATTTCACACTATAATGTTCGCACTTAAGACACTGTGCCTGCATCGGTCTATACGTAGTACATTCAAGCCACACATACCAGACCTAGCCACCTAGGTACACCTGCCTGTCTGCCTGCCTGCCAGCCCCAGATGATCCGCAGCCTAGGGGTACCCTGTACCAGATAGCGCCTAGGTCAGCCTAGTCAATAGCCCCAGTATTATCCGTATAGCGAACAATGAGACAAGGTGCTTGCTCGGTTCGCAAAGTCGCTATACACATTCTATCCAAATGCTACACCAATTTTGTTCACTTTCATTGAAGCACCCTAAATGTGCATTTTTGTCTATATAATTGTGCCGGAAATGGTATGTGGGTAGTTAGTTATAAATGTTTATATCCTTCCCCTTTTCATTTCAAATCATACGTCCCGCTAAGCGACCACAGGCTTTGTCACTACGAACCCGGGAAAGAATCAGCTCTGCTGGTATCGTTCACACACACTAAACCCACAGCTAATGCATTGCGTCCCATATAATAGTACCGGAATTTACATGTGGGTAGTTAGTTAGAAATGCCCAAGAAAGAAACAGTCTCGTTAAGCGAGAGCCCGGGAAGAAATTTCAGGTCTTGCAGGAAGAATCAGCTCTGCTGGTATCGTTCACACACACTAAACCCACAGCTAATGCATTGCGTCCCATATAATAGTACCGGAATTTACATGTGGGTAGTTAGTTAGAAATGCCCAAGAAAGAAACAGTCTCGTTAAGCGAGAGCCCGGGAAGAAATTTCAGGTCTTGCAGGAAGAATCAGCTCTGCTGGTATCGTTCACACACACTAAACCCACAGCTAATGCATTGCGTCCCATATAATAGTACCGGAATTTATATGTGGGTAATTAGTTAGAAATACCTGATAAAGAAACAGTCTCGCTAAGTGACCACAGGCTTTGTCACTACGAACCCGGGAAGAAATTTCAGGTCGTGCGGGAAGAAAGTTACGGGCTAAGAAGAGTTTCTAACTAACTACCCACATACCGTTTCCGGTACTATTATAGGGGAAAAAATGCAAATTTGCAGTGGGTTGGGTCTGAACTATATTGTCATAGATAATTCCCCGAGCCCGTCTAACGACCCAACCCGTGATTAAAAAGAGAAGAATGTAAACATGGACCCAAAATAACGGCCTGGATATTAAACCTATGGACCGAAAACACAGTCTGAGGTAATATGGACCGAAAAAAAAACGATCATGTGGCAGTAAAGCCGTAAACACTATGGACCGAAAAAATGGCCTGGATATTAAGCTTGCCAACATTATGGACCAAAACACAGTCTGGGCATTAAGCCTGTATACATTATGAACCGAAAATGAGAGAAGACGCATAGAGAGACAATGGAATGCACTTGTGGGTGATAGTGATGACGATGAGGAATTTGAAGGTACGCTCCACGTGATTTTGTTTGGACGAAAAGGAACGCCTACGACATACCTATTGCTTTATATACATGAGCAGCAGGGAGGGTGAATCTCTACATGATATTGCTCGAGTTTTTAACGAAAAAAATAGTTCAATAAAGTCAGGGTAAAAAAAGTCAATAATAGTATAACAAAACTGAGCTAACCTCATACTATTTATTATGCGGTTTTTAACCGTCCGTACGGTAATCTAAAAGTTAGAGATTTTGGTTTAGGGTTATTGACCTTTTTTCAGCCTCTATAGGAACCCTTATTTCAGGTTAATTTCACGAGCAAAATTTTGTAGGATTCACCCTCCCTGCTGCTGTAAAAATAAGTAAAGCTTAAGGAGAAGATAAGAGTAATCAAATGAATATACCCCACAGGGGATAGAACCCACGACCTTCGCATTATTAGTATGAAGCTTTAACCAACTGAATTATAAAGACTTGACAGATGTGGTATTGGGGCCCCGAGTGGTCTAGTGGTCTAAAGAGCTGTCCGTTACGGATCAATGCATCTCACCTGTCTGCGTGGGTTCGAGTCTAGGATTCGGCGAATGTGGATATGTGAGAAAGCTTGCCAGTAGCCTCTCGTGGGTCGGTGGTTCTTTCCGGTGATTTCACGGTTTCTTCCTCCACCATTAATACTGGCCGCCATAAATAGCCTATCGTGTGCTGAAAAATGGCGTTAAGCCCAACAACAACAACAGACGTGGTATTAGATAATATTAAAAGCTAGTGGTATTGGATAATGTTGAAAACTAGATAATCTGATTACAGATTTTGTGTATACATTTTCATGTCAGGATTGACTGGTTTTTATAAAACAAATTAGTCACACATAAAACATATGTTAGCGTGTAGCATCTTCCAACTGATCATCTTGTTTATTAACGTCAGCTCTTCTCTGGCTGTATATAGATCATGAGATTCAATGTTCTGTATTATTGTGCTTTATTGAATGGAATCCAAAATATGATTAACTAAAAGAATGTTATTAAATTATATTTTTAGTGTGCCTGCCCCCCCCCCCGATTTGTCATCATAGAAGGGACCCCCTAGTGCCAAAAGTTAAAACTATTTTATGTATTCTTGTTTATTCATTACATGTGCGTTTCTTGTGTAAAGTTTATTGAATTTCGATTTTATTCAATTTTGAGTTAGCAATTGTACACCATTCAAATCAATTATAGCTTCTAAAGTGTCAAATTCCTGGAGTTGTTAATTATTTTCTGAATATAGTAATTCCATAAGTCTAAATTTTAATGAAGAAGGAAATTAAATTTTAATTTCCATTATATACTTGACTTGATCAATATTAAAAGTTAATTAACTTAATTTCATACTTAATTTCAGTAAGTGCAAATTTGGTAGTTAAGGTTAGGTAGAGTTTTAATTTTTTTTAGTTCTTTAGAAGTAATTTTAATAAATGAATAAATATAATGTTTCCAGCTTTGCGCATGGGTTAAGTTTGGGATCTTAATTAGGCGCGAGCAGCATACACGTCACGCTTCCGTGAACACGTCTACACTAGCTCAGGTGCTACGAGTTTCTGGTCCAATACATGCATAATTGTTTAGTTCTAATCTGGCAATTTCCATCATAAATCAATAATTTAGAAAGCCTTAAATAAAATATTTAGTAATTATAATTAGTTTAAATATTGTAGGTTTTAGTTCAAAGAGGTGATAGTTAAGAAGAGTATAGATCTGAAATATGTATTTGTGTTAATGTTTTCGTAATGTTGTTGGTAATGGCCTCCCTTGAGAAACCGGTATTAGCCGTACTATCCCTCGTGAGTCACGTAGTATTGGTCTTCTACCTTGTGATCTTCCAATTTAGGAGGCTATTTCTCTGTATTTTGTATATATGTTGTATGTATATAGAGTCAAAGATCCTACCGGTATATTTGTTAGAGATATTCAAATCAAATTTTCAATATTGTTTTCATGGTCTTATTTATATACGAAATTAACTCATTATAAGTTTCTTTATCATTAATATTGCAGTAATGTTATGTCATTATATTAATAAGTTATAAAAATATCAAATACTTAATTAAACATATTCTTAATTAATGGGCTGTTCTGGATCTATAGTCATCAGTACTGATGACTTTCCTCTGGCTTTCCCTTGTCAGAAAAACCGCACGTGTTTTTCCTTCGTGTTCTTTTTTAAAACCCCATGTCTTGTTTCTTTGATTATGTCTGCTATCTCCTTGTTTTTTTGTGTAGACGCAGATCTTTTTTCTTTAACGTCATGAATGGTGTCGATGTGTCAATTTCTAAGGTCTCTCTTTTTCCTCACGTGTTTGCACATGTGTTATGATTACATGTATCCATAGCAATTCGTCCTATGTCTTAGCCGGTGTATGTATTTTTAAAATGTATCATCCTCTGACATAGATGATAAATTGGAATCAATACACATGCCCATTGTATTTGCACTTGTCTACATGGGTATACTAGATCAGAAGGCTATAAGTGTCTCTGGGAGAAACAAAATAATAAAAACATATGGAACAAAGAAGGAGGTCTATATTTTATCCAAAAGTGCAAAGATCTTTTATCTCAAAATATGGACAAAATTTTAAATGATATAAGCAGCAACAAACTTAATGAGTGCGTCGAAACATTTACTGATATTTACCATGATACAGCAAGCAAGCATGGTGTAAACAATAAATAGAAAGCAAATTATAGTTGTAACATCTCCAAAAAGAATTGTTCAATGTCAGCCTTGATTTGATACAGATTACATAAATGCCAAAAGCAATGCCTTAAGATATTTAAAACAGTCTAGATTAAAACGTAAAATTAAATGACTTGAATATTATAAATTTCATAAAATATTATAAGTCGCTTACAAGATGCAACCGAAAGCATTATGAATTAAAACAATAAAGTATATCTTTATTAGCATTATACTCCAACGATACACAACTTTTCTGGCGTCTTGTAAAGAACCCAAGTACTGGTATACAAAACAGTACAAGTCTGCAACTTGGTATGAATATTTTTCGGAATTATATAATATTTTTGAGTTATGTTGACCAGATACAGGAAACTAAAACATTCAAGTATTTCACGAAACTTTATATAGAACAAAAACATAACAAAGGTGGTGGAAGAGATGCTTTATCCCGCGACTTCTTTATAAGTACGAGCAACATAATGGCAACAATATTAGCAATATTACTGAATAAAGTATTCGATGTTGAATATTATCAAGAAATTTGATCAACAACTTTCATAATATCACTTTGAAGAAAATGTATGCAAAGAACCCTCTAATTACAGAGGTATTAGTTTACAGCCTGTATTAAGCAAAGTGTTTACATCGATTTTAAATAGCAGAATAAATGAATGGGCGGAGGAACACGTATTGCTGGACGAAGAGCAAGCAGGATTTATAGCAAAGTATTTCACAGCAGATAATACATTTATATTTTATACATTAAATGGTAAATATTTAAGAAAACGTAGGGATAGATTTTATGCAGTATTTATTGACTATGAAAAAGCCTTTGACAGGTTAGAGAGACTTTTACCGTACCTAAAGCTAGTTAGTGAAATTATTAATGAAAAAAAAATCATTAAGGTAATTTATATTGATATCAAAGCATGTTCTAAGTCCAACGGTCTTATTACCAACGCGTGTAATTGCCCTTTGGGCGTGAGACAAGGTTGTGCTTTATCTCCTGTAATCTTTTTTTGTTTTCAAATAATTTGAAGCCCATTTTAGATGAAGGGAATAGGGGAGTATATGATGAAACCTTAGAATTATTTTCACGGTTTATTAAGACGATTTAATTATTTTTACTGACACTGCTCACCAGTTACAAAATATCCTTAATAGGTTGCATACATACTGCCTAAAGATAAAATTAAAGGTGGATATGAAAAATATTAGTAAAAAACCAAGAGTGGTTGTATTTCGCAGAAGTGGCTATCACAGAAGTTATGAAAAGTGGTACTATGGCTATATAGAGGTAAAGATTTAATCATATTATGAGTATTTAGAATGTATATTTTCTTCAAAACGATCATGGTATATATGCCAGAAAAATCTATCCATGCAGGCGTTGAAGGCTGTGTTTATGCTGAAACAAAGTCTTTCAAAATTTGGCTGATTACCCGTAACTGTAAGGTCTTCTTACTGCAACAAGAGTGATAATTTTGGATAGATTTTAGCATTAATGTTGGACTGAATATTTGGTAATTTTGACCTGCTGCGCGGAGAACAATTCAGCTGCGCAAGAATGAAGCCAAAATTTAAACCAAATCCCGCTAATAGCACCCAATCAAAGGACGTCCTGGCAAGGATCACAAACTATAAATAAGCTTTGATTCCAGACCGGGAATAGTAGCTCCTATATCACACTAGAGTATGAAAAGTGTCTAAATTAAATTGTAAAATTTTATAAAAAGAAAATTTGAAAATAACACAAAAAGCACATGAATACCAGGAAAACAAAAACATATTTAAAACATCATCAGATGATGGTTATTCTGAGAGTTACCATATCAACGAATACCAAGGCTGCTCGTAAGAATTCAATTAATTAAATTTGGATACTTGCGTTGAATGATTGTTTCATTTTAATTTAAACAACCGATTATTATATTTTTACATCCTATTATAATGTCTAAACGAAAATGTGAAGATAATGCAAACATAATGCATAGAAATGCGGTCTTGTTTGTAAAGTATGTGCTAAAGCTAAAGCGTGTGGTGATTTTGCAACTAGAAGAACTTGGGCTATGTGGAAATTGGATTATCTAAAGAAATATATTACACAGAAAATCCATTTGGAATCAATAGCGAATTCAAAAGAACTCAAGCTGTAGCTGGAATCAATTTCCTTCTGATGGAATCATAGGATGATCGACAGATGCGAATCGAAGTGAATGATCGCCAATGAAGTAACGGTGAGCAACAACGAAGTAACGGTGAGCAAGTGAAGATTCTTGTTGATAATGTCTTGTTGGCCCTTTCAATGAAGGCTTCGATGCTGTCAGTAACTGATATCCATGTTCACATGGCTAAATATTTGAAACTTCCTAATATCTTGAGAAGTAAAAATTATGCATTTGTATTTGTTGAATGCATCAACACGGTTATGTATACAGGAAATGCGAGAGTCTAAATTCCGTACACTTATTGCAGACGAAAGCACAAACATATATGTAACCAAAATGCTAATCATATATATTATGATAAGAAAAGTCTCGTGTTGTTTTTGAGACGTTTTCTATCATAACCTTCTTCTCGTGCCTAGTTACGAGAAGGAAGAACGTTCGGCATTCTTAAGAATAAGGTGTCACTTATGATGGTGTAGATACGGTTACATCTTTTTGTGGGAAAGCTTTGGCTACGAGAAAGTACCAAGAATCTGTAAGAAATAGACACGACACTCTTCTGAGCTATGAATCGCACTTTATTGA